GCAGTGCAAGCAGCAGGGAAAGAGCTCGCAGTGTCAGTGGGACTGTGCTCACCAGGCAGGGCAGGTCGTGTAGGTATGCAGAAAGGCGGCTCAGCGACCTGGCGGCTCGGGTGCTGGGCGGCTTGGCTGCTGGGCGGCTCGGGTGCAGGGCGGCTCGGCTCCCGGGCGGCTCGACGGCTGGGCGGCTCGGGTGCAGGGCGGCTCGGCTCCCGGGCGGCTCGGCGTCGGGCGGCTCGGCTCCCGGGCGATTCGGCTGCTGGGGCGGCTCGGCCAGGAGATGCAGGGGCGGGGCCGTCAGGTGCAGCGGCGGGTTGAACGGTGCAGTGGCGGGCCGGCAGGTGCAGCGGCGGGCCGGCAAGTGCAGCGGCGGGCCGGCAGGTGCAGCGGCGGGCCGACAGGTGCAGCCGGCGGGCCGTAGGGTGCAGTGGCGGGCCGTAGGGTGCAGTGGCGGGCCGGCAGGTGCAGCGGCGAGGCCGGCAGGTGCAGCGGCGAGGCCGTCAGAGGCGGCGGGCCGCTGGGTGCAGCGGCGGGCCGGCAGGTGCAGTGGCGGGCCGGCAGGAGCAGCGGCGGGCCGGGAGGGGAGGCGGCGGAGCCGCGTCAGGGGAGGCGGCAGGGCCGCGTCAGGGGAGGCGGCGGTGCCGCGTCAGGGGAGGCGGGGGAGCCGCGTCAGGGGAGGCGGCAGGGCCGCGTCAGGGGAGGCGGCGGGGCCGCGTCAAACAGGCGGCGGGGCCGCGTCAGGGGAGGCGGCGGAGCCGCGTCAGGGGAGGCGGCGGGGCCGCGTCAGGGGAGGCGGCGGAGCCGCGTCAGGGGAGGCGGCGGGGCCGCGTCAGGGGAGGCGGCGGGGCCGCGTCAAACAGGCGGCGGGGCCGCGATCAGGAGAGGTGGCGGGGCCGCGTCTGAGGGACAGCGGGGCCGCGAGGGAAAAGGCGACCCGAGGGGGGTCGCTAAAAAAAAGGCGCGCCTCGGGGCGCGCTTCGGTGGGCCCTAAAAAAAACGGTCCTAAGGCAGGACCCGCTCTATACCATGTGAAGCAAGGAAAACAGGAATGAAATGACTAAGGAAAGATTGGGTACAAATACAACCCTAGAAACCCTGTACCCCATATGTGCTACCCCACTATAGCCTACAGTAACTATGTCTTATAAATCTGACAAGAAGGTGCTGGATTCGGACTTGAGGAGTGTTCACCGAATTCGGTTCGGTTCTGTGTGCGATCCGGGGTGAAATGAGGCGCACACGGTTACTTGGGATACAAGTGAAGATACGAATCACATTTTGTGTCTTGCTTGCCTAAAAAACTGCTTGTACTCATCTGGAAATTACAACATTGATGTTGGAGATAGTGAAAATTGCTTAAGTTTGTTTTGACAACTTCAAGTAGAGGGTGTGAGAACATGATTGAGGATATCGTTGGATTCGGGAGATCGTGGAGAACATAATAAGCAATAGCAAGTACACTATTGCCGACTAAGGCGTTGACGATCCTAAGAGGCGTTTGTTGCGGCGCTCGCGGTCTCAGGCTATCTGCCGTGCGCGTCGCTCGCACAGCGTCTCGCGAAATCGCAAGGTGCGATGACCCGTCAAACCGTGGTAGTAGTAGCAGTAGCAGCAGCGATACTATGATAGTAGTAGTACCACTAGTAGTACTAGTAGTAGGTAATAGTAGTATAGCGTCTCATTTATCGGCTTGGGGCCAAAACTCGCCCTCGGCGTGGTCACCGCCGTTTAGCGCCGTTGTTACCTCTCTGAAGAAAACCGACAGCAACTTTCCGCAATCCAACCTACAACTTATCGCAATGCGCACCCAAATGCTGTGAGGTTCTTTCACTGGAACCTCTTGCGAACACCTGAACCCCAGTGGAATGGACGACGAATTTCGGAAAGCGGGAACAGGTTACTGGGCGAGTTTGTGGTGACATTTTTTAGCAGGTCCACTTTTTTGGCTGAGCGTTACTACTATATAAGTTAGCTTCCAAGGCGGTTGCTGTGCCGAGCCATAGCGAACTATTACTAGACACACCCTCTCTCCATGCACAAGGCGAACCGTTCCCTTACGGGCCGCATGCGCAGCACCTTCCGAATGCCGCCACGCCAGGGGGGCAAACGGACAGCCTCCCAGTTTTCCAAGCCTTTCCCACACTCCCTGAGAAGCTGTTAAGAAGCTAGCTGGCTGTAACTTCATCCCTGAGAGGGGGTAGTGCGCGCCAAATAGCGCTGCCGCAGCCTGGCTGTTATGATGTGATCCTCGTCAATGCCTCCATGCCTCCATGCCTCCATGCCTCAATGCCTCAATGCCTCAATTACTTACTACCAGCTGTACTGTTGCTGCCTGCCGGTTTGCCGCCCGCAGCTGATGCGCTGCAGGAGCTGCAGAAGTATTGGAGCATGAACGTTACAAGCTGGCGGGTGGGGAGCGACTGCAAGCGAGCGCAAGGCCTCACATGCGATCAAGACGGCATGATCACCTCCATGTGCGTCCGCGCCCTGCTCTGCTGTGTGTGCGCGCCCCTAATAACCTGTGCCGTTCCGTGCTGATTCATCCAATGCTGCTGTCCCCTGTTGCGCTGTGCGCAATTACTACGGGGAATGCACTGTGCTGTGATGTGCTGTGCTGTGCTGGGCTGGGCTGTGCTGGGCTGTGCTGTGCTGTGCTGTCTGCTGTGCTGGGCTGGGCTGGGCTGGGCTGGGCTGGGCTGTGCTGTGCTGTGCTGTGCTGTGCTGTGCTGTGCTGTGCTGTGCTGTGCTGTCTGCTGTGCGACGCCATGCTGCTGCGTGCCGTGCACTGGTGCTGATCCTGTGCCACATGAATATACCTCCCATCCTACATATTTTGCTATGTCTCTGCAGGTTCATCAACACAACCACGCAGGCTGTTTTTCCTCGAGATACTCTTGTATTTCTAACTCGCTTGACAAAGCTGTAAGGGTGTGCGCGTTTACTCTCCGTTTTTCTCCTGCTACAACGCCGCTACCCAGGAAGACGCTGGGTATGACTGTGCTGCAGGTTTAACTAACAGTTTGGGTTAGGCAATTTGCATCTGGCTTGCTGGCTTCACTTCATGACCACATGAGCGTCGGTAAAACCGGTGGCTGGTCCGAGTTTCAGGCTGGCCAGGCAAGGTTCGCCATGCTATTGTGCGCTATGGCCCAGGGCCAGGCCAGCCTTTAGCCAGCCTGGTGGGTGGGCCAGTGTTGGTCCGCTCTGTGGCCTGCACTGAGCCTTTTTTCTTTGACTAAAGAATCCGCTTTGTAGCCTGGCTGGCCTCCCTGTTAATGTGCTCGAATTGGGCCAAAGTTGGAGCCCTTCAGTGGCACACACACACGCACATCACTTTAAGATTGTCGGCCCCCATTCCCCTGCTCTTCCCACCGCCGCCCACCCACCCGCACCCACCCTCCTCCCCCCTTCTCTCCCGTTCCCCCCTCTTTTTCTCCTCCTAGTTCTGGTCCTTAGTTAGCCTTCTTCTTGTCATGCATGGATGTCACATCAATAAAAAAGTTCTAGCCACTCGTTTACCCAACGGTTCTGCGATGGTGGATCCACATAAGCCCCCATGGCATTGTCCTGCCTTCTTTTTTTATCTTCCTCAGCATCCGTTTTTATCCAATGAAGGGAGGTCAAGGGGATGGAGCATGTACCATTGTTCACAGTCTACGACGTCACGTGGCTCAAGTCTCTGTGAGTCTCATCCAAACTAAAACCCGAAACCTCTTTCTTGCTGCTGCCCATTACACCATGCCACAGCGGGATGGGACACATATGCTCCCTGGCTCCTCTCTGCTCCGCGTTCTCTTGTATGCGTTTCTTGTGTGTGTGTGTGTGTGTGTGTGTGTGTGTGTGTGTGTGTGTGTGTGTGTGTGTGCGTGCGCGCGTGCGTGCGTGCGTGTGTGTGTGGGTGCGTGCGTGCGTGCGTGCGTGCGTGTGCGTGTGCGCGTGTGTGTGCGTGCGTGCATGCGTGCGCGTGTGCGTGCGTGCGTGCGTGCGTGTGCGTGCGTGCGTGCGTGCGTGCATGTGTGCGTGCGTGCTCTTGCCTCGCGCATGTTTCTACTTTGCATTCGGTTCACTCCTTCCCTGGCATGGGTGTTTTTATTTAGCGCATGGCACGCACATGGTGTTGCTCATGGTTTTGGTCATCGTGTTGGTCATGATTTTGTGCGGCACCACATATGGCATGCATGTCATGTCATGTCATCTTTGGCAGTCATTGGAAAATGCGTCTTCTTTCCTCTTCGTCTCTTACTTTGTCGTCAGGAAAATGAACAATTGTGGCTTTGAAACCGCGATAGCTGAGTTGACCCAGATCACCAGCCTCGTGGATTTGTAAGCCCTTTGCCCCTTACACACGCCCCTTCTCCACTCCATTCCCCACGCCCCTTCTCCGCACCCACTACTGGTTTCCCACATTCTTGATGTGCTGCGGGTGTCACATACATGGTAGGTAGGTGCATAACTAGATACGGATTTAAACACAAGCGGCCCCACAACCGCACTGGTCTGTGGGCGGCTATAACAGGTGAAGCAACCGGGCTGACTCTTGCAAGATAGTTCCTGTTTTTATCCAAGGTTTTATTCTGCTCTTCAAGCGCGTGCTGGCTTGCCTGCTATCCTGTGAGCCTCCGAAAATGACACCACACATAAAGGGGGCCATGGGAAATGAAGGGCCCTAGAGGCTTTATGCAGAGGAGACAGCAGAGGGCAAAGGGCAGAGGCAAGAGGGCTAACCCTTTTCTTTTCTTTCTCTCTTTCTTTCTGTGTGATTCCTTCTAACCGCCAACCTTATTGCCTCCAGAGAGCTTTCGTCTAACGGGATGCCGTCAAAGTGGCCTCTTAATTATGTGAAACACACTCGTCTCATGAAGCTGTATGTATCTTCTGTTTGCTAGGACCGAGCTCCCTGATTGGGACGCCTTTAGACATACGTTGGACAATACTGTATGACGTCAATTTTAGCACATGCGGACACCATCTGTAGCAGAATATAAATCATCGCTTTCCAACTGTCATGAACTCTGTTTCCTTTTTCCTGCTCCTGCTCCTTCTCGCTCTACATATGGCTTGTTCCATTCCGTAGTCATTTGCTTGCCCACATCCCCATCCTCATCCCCATTCTCATCCTCATCCCCATTCTCATCCTCATCCCCATTCTCATCCTCATCCCCATTCTCATCCTCATCCCCATTCTCATCCTCATCCCCATTCTCATCCTCATCCCCATTCTCATCCTCATCCCCATTCTCATCCTCATCCCCATTCTCATCCTCATCCCCATTCTCATCCTCATCCCCATTCTCATCCTCATCCCCATTCTCATCCTCATCCCCATTCTCATCCTCATCCCCATTCCCATCCTCATCCCCATTCTCATCCTCATCCCCATTCCCATCCCCATTCCCATCCCCATCCCCAACCCCATTCCCATCCCCATCCCCATCCCCATCCCCATCCCCATCCCCATCCCCGTCCCCATCCCCATCCCCATCCCCTTCCCCATTCCCATCCCCATCCCCATTCCCATCCTCATTCCCATTCTCATCCTCATCCCCATTCCCATCCCCATTCCCATCCCCATCCCCAACCCCATTCCCATCCCCATCCCCATCCCCATCCCCATCCCCGTCCCCATCCCCATCCCCATCCCCTTCCCCATCCCCATCCCATCCCCATCCCCATCCCCATCCCCATCCCCATCCTCATCCTCATTCTCCTGGCGTGCTCTCTCAAACGGCTATATGGCAGGAATCTGAGTTCCAACCTGCTCACGTCTGAAAAGATAACAGAGCTGACAAGTCTCACAAGTCTCACAACGCTGTCAGTCAATCACATCTACGCATACATACATGATACCCCATCTCACCCACCAGCTCGCATTCAGCACACATGATAGTCTGCTCCCTCCATGGCTCGCAATGCAATTACTCGTGCTCGTGACCATCGTGCTCGTGACCATCGTGCTCGTGACCATCGTGCTCGTGACCATCGTGCTCGTGACCATCGTGCTCGTGACCATCGTGCTTGTGACCATCGTGCTCGTGACCATCGTGCTTGTGACCATCGTGCTCATGACCATCGTGCTCATGACCATCGTGCTCATGACCATCGTGCTCGTGACCATCGTGCTCGTGACCATCGTGCACATAATAAGCAGGGGGCTTGACAGATATGCACACACGCGCACCATGCGCGCTGGCGTAGCATGCGCTGCGACATGCCTCCATGCGTTCCAAACTTTGCACATTTGTTGCGTGCCTGTCTCTTGGGTCGCCTCAAGAGTCCACACCACTGTGCACATTCATTGCGCGCGTCTGTGTCATGACTCGCGTTCTGTGTGACCTCGCTCTTACTGTCTCTCCATTTCAATCGTGTGCTGCCTCCTCATATGCCTTACTTTGGCGCAAACGTTTGCTGGTGAGTGGGGATGGCATCACGGCATCATGACATCATGACATCATGACATCATGACATCATGACATCTGGCATGATGACATGATGGCATCATGGCATCATGGCATGAAAGGCCAGCGATCTATCTGCCAACGCATTCCAGGGCAAGACTCTGCTTCAGGCATTGGCGGGCTTACCCAACTTGCAGTTCCTGTGCGTGTTCTTGGGAGTGTTCAACACATCTACATTGGAGTTGTTTTTTATTTTTCGTAGGAGCAACTCCAGTATGGATGTTGGATACCATTCAGTGCATCTAGTGCTGTACTCCTGCCACTGCTGTGCGGTTGCCCCTCCCCCTCCCTCAAAACCCACCCATCTAGGGATGAGCAAATGGCGAACACGAACATGTTCGTGTTCGCCTGGGCTCGAACATGGCTGTTTGGCGAACCGAACACTTTACACCAGAAAGGGTGTTCGAAGTTCGCTAAGAGAGGCGAACATTTCGTACGTTTTGGCGAACACGAACACGTTCGCCCATAACATGTTCGCGTTCGCCTTAAAGGACCTTCTCGGATCCAAGTAGAGTGAAATCCAAATGTTTCACATTCCCTCCCCCCACCCCGCAAGCCAGTCCCGCCCTGCTAGAACCGCCCATGCTAGATCTACGCTTAAGAAACGTCGAAATGCTAGATCTACGCTTAAGCAACGGCGAAATGCTAGATCTGAGCTTAAGCAACGGCGAAATGCTAGATCTGAGCTTAAGCAACGGCGAAATGCTTGATCCGCACTTAAGCAACAGCGAAATGCTAGATCTACGCTTAAGCAACGGCGAAATGCTAGATCTACGCTTAAGCAACGGCGAAATGCTAGATCTACGCTTAAGCAACGGCGAAATGCTAGATCTGAGCTTAAGCAACGGCGAAATGCCTTGATCCGCACTTAAGCAACGGCAAAAGGCCTTGATCCGCACTTAAGCAACGGCAAAAGGCCTTGATCTGAGCCCAAACACCAAGGCCCGCGCCCTAAAAATTGGTCGCGGGCCTATTCGTCGACGAACACATTGGCGTTCGTCGAAGGCCCGTGTCGATCACGAACACGTTCGTGTTCGTCGCGCCTCGGCCAGCTGAGCCGGGCGAACGGCGAACGTGTTCGGGCGAACACCGAACACGTTCGCCCCGAACAATTTTGGCCAAAAAAAAATATTGTTCGGTTCGCCTCGAACACGTTCGAGGCGAACCGAACAGGTGTTCGTCATATTGCTCATCCCTACACCCATCCAACCCTCTCTTCTTGTTCCACACCAAAGCAATCTCTGCCATGCAAGATTTGTTCTGCGCACGGCGCATAGTTTGTGAAACTTCAACCACCACTGCTCTTACTATTGTGCCGCCATATCCTGCTGCACCTTGCTTGCCCCAAGTTCACACACTCAACAAGTAAAGCAGCCTTCACGTTGTCTTGTAACCAGAAACCCTTTGCCCACACCCGTCATCTGCACTTCCGCTTTCCTCCTTTCCGGCCTCCTTTCCGCTTTTGTTCGCCTTCAGAAATCTCTCCAACAACCAAACTGACCGGAAATTTCCCTGAATCTCTCACGTCCATGAGCAACCTGGTCAGTCTGTGAGTTTCTTTCTTGCATCACTGTCCATCCCATGTTTCCATCCAAAGTTGCAGGGTTTTATAGGCAAGCAGGCGGATTTTACTGTACTGCCGACATTGCGAATACTGTACATCTTGTTGTCATTTCTATTATCGTTGCCTCAGCAACGTCCCCATTCACACACCAGCATGTGAGTGAGGGAGTAGCTTGTAGCAGTCACAAGCTCCTCTTGATCGCGCTCTCAGTGCTCGTCCCTGTAATACTCACAGTTTGCTTGCCTCGTTGGTTGTGCTGCTGCATTGGCCCACATGCAAAGCACAGTTGACCATCTGCTTTCTGGTTGGCACGTGACTGGCACAGAACTGTCGATTTCAACTACAAGGTCGGTACCATTCCACGGATCCTTGGAAATATGAGCAAGCTGTCAACTCCTCAAGTGCATGCAAATAACACCGAAATATTGAACTCCGTCTTAAAAAATTTATGAACCTTTTCAGAAAGGGAATTTGCAGAAACAAGGGATGGAGAAACACACTTTGGGATGGAGAAAACACACTTTTGGATGGAGAAAACACACTTTGGAATGGAGAAAACACACTTTCTGACTAAGTAGGGCCAATGCAGATGCTGCTAACTTGGTAGGCGTTGCCGTTTGAGTCCACATCCACGTTATCGATTGATAGGCTGCTACGTGCAAACCTCTGGTTAGGCATAAGGCGTTTTAAGAAGAGAATTTTCTATGCACAGGAGACTTATCATGAAGGTCCCCAGTTGATTGCTAGGTATCCAAATGACTGCAGCCTGAAGTGACGAGATGACTGGTCGACCCCTCTATGGCACCACCCATTTCCCCTTGTGCGAGTTACTGGTTCCGTGCAGTTGACAGGGACTGCAAAGGAAGCATTTACTGAAGGGGCTTTCGTGGAATACACTCAATGGGAGGAGTGCAGGCAGTGCTAAGGGTCTCTCCCTTTATCCTCGTGGTGTGAATCTCCACTCTCCACTGCACCCCTTGTTGTTGTTCCCCCTTCTCCTGCGCCCATCAGATCTGCCACCAACACCAGTGGTCTCAAGTGCCCTGAAAACTACACCAGCTGCGGTGTGCCTCAGAATGCGTCCTCTGGCTTCTGCCGCACCTGCCCTGGCTTCTGCGCCACATGTGAGAAGTTCGAGTAAAAGCAAGCATGTCTTTCACCGGCTTGATCTGATGCTACTGTTACCTCAAATCACTCCCTTTTGAGGCTTCCTTGATGCGATGCGACTCACAAGATGCCACAGAAAGTGTCTGATCACATCTATCACCTACCTTTAGGTATTGACCTATCATCACGATCGGGACATGCGGCCAAAGCATCTCACCTCAAGCTGTTCACAATCAGGTCAACATGGCTAGCTCTCAACAGATCTACCTGTTGCATTCGAGCTTTCTCGCTGTGTGCAGGTGACAAACCCAAGCCCGCACCCACAGTACTGTCACCGGTACCATCTGTGGAAAGCACGCCCTCTTCAGGATTTCCCACGTGGGCCATCGTTCTGATTTTCGTTGCTGTAGTTGCTGTTGCTGTAGCCACCGCTGTCATCCTATACTACTATTACTTCAACAAATGTAAGCTTCAAAGCGTATTTTTCTCAGCAATACTGTATGCTGCTGCACCTCACTTGGTACCATTCTGTCTTGGCATGGATGAGAGCAGACAACCGTTTGTGTCACAAACACGGCAGGTGGTAGGCAAATTCTCACACCTTGCAACTTCAAATGGGTACTCGCCCTAGCATCGCGTCATTTATTCCGAATCACATCCTTTACCTCCCAATACCTCACAAAATTTGTCTCAATTCACAGCGCTGGTGAGCAGCAAAGCGGCAGCGCAGGTGTGTCAGGAGTATTCACTGGCGGCGGTGGTGAAAGCCACCAACGGGTGGTCCGAGGACAACATTCTTGGCATGGGGGCGTATGGTGACGTGTACCGTGGCGTCTCTCCGACTGATGATGCCACGCCGTGGGCCGTGAAGCGAGCCAAGATCATCACCAACGACTTTGACACCGAGGTGTGTGAGCGTGATGTGGTTTGGTGTGGTGCTAACATGCATTGGCTTATGCTGTACAATAGTAATACATTGCATGTACAATAAGAACTTTTAGTTATACGGAAGGACTACATTGTTGACTTGGACGCTCGAAGCAGATCAATGAACGGATAGAAAACTTAATCAAGACAGTCATCAATTAGATTGGTTGAAAATCCCTATCTGTGGTATAAGGATTTTGAGCATCCCAAATTCTGTACTGGGGTACATGAGCACGCCTTTCAACTTTGAGAACGTTGTCATGCATGACATACTTCTGACAAATGTCCATGCCTGGCAGGTGTGTAAGATGGTCGAAAAGCAGTGTCATTAATATAAATGAGTTGTGTTTATTTGCCCCCACCATTTGGCCTGGCAGGTGTGTGAGATGGCAACGAAGCACCACCCCAACCTGGTGCGACTGCTCGGCTTCTCAATCGGGATTACCGACAAGACAAGGGTCGAGCAAATCCTCATCTACGAACTCATGCCCAACAAGGACCTCTCGCAATGGATCGGGAAAGGTATGTTGTTATCATAGGTTGGTCCCCTTACATGGGCTGGTCTTACAAGCAATCCAAGAATTGGTAAGCTTGCACAACAAGAAAGCGAGGTTCGTGAAAAAATGTGCAAATACATTGTGCTTTGTGTGTTTGTGTTTTTGTGTGCGCGCACGTGCGTTCGTGTGTGGGTGTGTCCGTGCATGAGCGTATGTGTATATGCAAGTTCCATACAAGTAACGCAGGGATGAGATGAGGCAAAGCAGCAGCAAAACACTGGAACTCCTCCTACCTGTCCTCAAGGACGTCCGTGCTAAGAGCACACCCACCCCCGACGGACGGAGGACAGACAGACTCAGACTAAGCAACGAGACTAGTGGCGTAGTCTAGACGACAGCGAGCAGCAAACTCGACAAGCTCACCAACCAAGGCAGACGCAGCAGTGGTCGCAAAGAAAGGGTCAGTGACAACAGTGGTCAGGAGACGCGTGAGAGTAGGACTGGTAGCACGAAAAAAGTCTGACTCCGGGTCAACAAGAACAGGAAGAGAGGACTATGGAGGAGACGACAACGGGACACGCAGAGGAGCAGTGGAAGGACGCAGTGCCATCTGGTGTGTGCCTGAGACCGCAAGAGGACGCGGACGCGAAGCACGACTACTAGTGCGAGCAGCACGAACAGGCGACGCAGGAGAGACGCAGGCTCACGACGCTCAGCAAGACCTCTAGTAGGACCAGTGTAGGGAGAAGGAGCAGGTAAAGGGGAGGCGGGCTGTAACTGTGACCGCGACTGGACAGGCTGTGGACACTCCAAGGGAGGAGCTGGACCAATAGAGGGCGGGAGACTGAGAACCTGCTCAAGGAGCGGAACGAAGTACGGCCCCGGCCGCGCAGCGCCTCCAGAACCAGCAGGGACAGCACCAGTACCCCCAGCGGCAGCACCAGCGCCAGCAGCACCTCTAGCTCCAACAGCGCCAACTCCTCCACCCTTAGAAGCACCAGCGCCAGCAGGACCGCCAGCACCAACTCCCCCAGCAGCTCTTGCTCCAGCAGGACCGTCAGCTCCAGTACCGCCAGCAGCTCCAGCAGTACCTCCTGCAGGACCAACTCCAGCAGCCCCAGCAGCACCCCCAGGCTCAGCAGCTTCAGTACGAGTACCTCCAGGACCAGCAGCAACAGTAGCACCTCCAGCTCTAGCAGCACGGCTCCAGCGCC